AGAAAGCCCTCCTCCGGGTACTTACTCTCCTAATTTCTTTCATGGAGTAACCTTGTCTGTTTTGTTCCCTCTCTCCCCATCAGCTCCTACCTGGACAGAGAGCCGGAGCCACCATCCACGCAGGTTATGGGAAATGTACAGGGAGAAGGGGCAGGAAGAAGGTGCTGAACTTGGCTGAGAGCTCTGTCCTGACATGTCTGTCCAATCTGTCTGAAATTCAGCAGCTGGACCTTTCAGAGAGGTAATCGCATGCCGGAAAATGTTGTGCCAAGAGCATGTGAAACAGGAACTGTACTGATGTCATGATGGTGTGGCTGAATACTTGGAAATGTTGTGCTAACCCAAAGTTTCAGGAAACAGCCTCTTGGTTTTCAACTGAGCAGAAGAGGTTTCCTAATTCTTGCCCAGATGTTCCCCTATTGAATCAACATGCTTCTGTTTAGACTTAACCTTGCAGTAAGAACTGCACTGCAAAAACTTTTGGTGAGAAAGTTATGCTAAAATACCTGGTATTTTTCGTAGTTTTGCCACTACTTCCTTTGCTTGTGGGTCTGTCCACTTCGCCCTGTAACCCTAGCCCCTGAAAGTTTTGCCCAAGCCAAATTTAACCCTCAGGCAGACAGAAGGGTTTTAGATCGCTCAGGAAAGTCTAACAGGCGAGCTTGCTGGCTGCTGTGAGAACTGGACCATTAAAAGCAGCTGCCAGTTTCCTTCTGAGGAATGTGGTACAGTCAGTTGCTGTCCTTCCCATTCGCTCTTCCTCCTCCTCCTCCTCCTCCTCCTCCGAGAGTTCCATAACTCAGTGCATCACAATCGAGAGATTCCAGGGCACAGTGTCCGCTCAACCTTCAAATCATCGGCAATGCACCAGGAATATGTCACCTTCCTCTCTCTGACTCGGTGGACTCTACCTCATGGTGCCTCCTGAGCATCCTTGCAGATCACGCAGCGGCTGCGAGCCAGACAGGCAGAGGGCCCTACCCATAGTTCCCGGGGCCAGGGATCCATTGGCTGCATTATGGGGAAGCCGCAAAAGATGAACACGGGCCTGCGGCAGGCTTCTGTCCAGGCACACCCCGCCTGCTCGCTGGCTCCAGGGCCACACATCAGGTCTGTTTCTACCCTAGGGCGCTTCCACGCTGCTGCGGCCCTGCTTTTCCGCAATCGGGGGACTGGCCGGGGATTCCACCCCACCTGTCACTTACTGCCAGCTGTCAGCAATATCTTGAAGCGGGAGTAGGTTCCGTTCAGGGAAAGTCTCCCACCAAGGGAATTAGTCCCAGCAGTCGCTCTCTGTCTCCTAAACTCCTCTTCAGCGGCTTTGGGATGCGACGCAGCCCCTTAGTTGTGCCTTGATTCAACCTTCTGGTTCTTATATGGAGCGGGAGGGAGGGAGAGTCAACTACCAATCCTAAGGGACTTTTTATGAGCAAATGCTGTGGCTTCACTTGGTCCCCCTCCCCGCCACAAACAGCCATCAGCACATTCTCATTTCATCCAATCCCACAATCACTCTCTCTCCTCGTTCCCACTTCTGCAGAACCCGCTCTTCCTTTGACGACTGAGGCACTCCTCTGCTTCCCACAACTGCAGCGAGATCTAGCTCTTCCTTCCAAGCCCACTTGCCATGAAAACACCAGTGGTCTCCGGGTGGGTTGTGGGCATCTTGACTTGGTACAGTTGAGCTAGAAGGGGTGTGGCAAATACCAGGTAATCCAGGAAGTGTTTGCTTAGAGCATGTCCCAACCAGGGAAACAGGAATCCGCTTACCCTATTTCCAGCCAGGCGGGGTCTACAGGGGTTCCTGTTGACTGAGGCGTTCTTTGCACCTCTTGGGGGGTTTCTGGGCTCATGTCTGGAGAGGAAAAGGTGGTGGACAGCGACAGGCGGTCCGGTGTATGCACTTTGCTTGGCCTACAGCACGGTCTTGCCTCAGACCCCGGGGTTGTCCAGGATTCCTCCTGGCTGGCTCGCTAGAATTGTTGCAAAAATGTCCTTGGTCTTCTTCCCGGAGGGTCTCAATTATCCGGAAAAAGGGAAGCAACACCCAGCAGAGACTTAAACTGTTTATTTTGCATGCCCAAAAGCGGAGCTGACAAAAAGCAAAGTTTTGGCATGGCCTTTACAGCTTACAGATTGGCAAGTAGTTTGAATCCCGCATGACCAGGTGCTCTCCGGTTCCAGCTCGGCCAATCCTGGCCTCGCACATCCTGGCACCTTTAGAGAGTCATTAGTGGGGTCTTTTAGCTAGGTGTTTTGCTGGTGTTTTCTAAGAATTGTTTTTTGTGACATTTGGGGTCTTGCTAGATGTCTCCCAGACCTAGTTTGTGGTTGGAGTTAGCGAAGGTTTTCTGAAAACGGCTTCCCCTTAACACTTGTGGTTATGCTTGGTGTTACTTCCCAAGCATCTAGGGTTCTTAATTTAGCTCCTAACTGACTAACTGATCTGCAGCCTTAGACACGTGAAGCTTTCACTGATTGATCGCTCTACAGCTTTAAACACACCGAGCCAAAGCTATTGCTCAGGCTAGCCAGAGACTTTGGCGCATGGCCCGGCCGAGGTCATGCTCGCTGGGTCGCGGGAGCGGTCTGTGTGTGGTCTTCTTGCAAGTTACTGCAAGGCAGCATTGTTACAGAAGGGCCGGCCTTTGTCTAACACATTTGATGAGGGGCTTGACAACCACGCAGTTGTGTGGCTGATACAAGCAGAGGGGAAGCCAACGGATCTCGACTTGCTAGGAGCAGGAGGTGGCTTCCTCTGGCACCCGAAAGGCAGCAACCTCGGTGCAAAGCAGCTCCTGCAGAAGATTTGGGGGGCCCGTGGGCAAAAGACCTTCAGGGAGCATCCACCCTCGGCACCATTCCTGGGGAGGGAACTGGGAGACTGGGCACCACAGAGAAGGACCACCCGTTGCACTTCCAAAAGCAGGGAAGAACCCTGTGGGTGGGAAAAGACCCTCCTCAAGGCCTGGCCTGGAAAGGCCTCCCTTGGCCGGATCCTGCGCTGTCCATCTCACGTGGTTTTCTGCTCAGAGCTGGAAAGTGGGAATTGGGATGCATCTTCCCCGTCGGCTCCAAGATGTCACGGAAAGGAGCGTCTCCAACCACCACTGCCAAACAGTTCATTCTGCTCAGTTTCTCCAATTGTTTAGCTGGACATAAAACCAGAGAGACAGAGAAAGAGCGTGAGCCAGAAGAGGCCTCCTGGGCCATCTGCTCTGACCCCCGGCTCACCTTGTTGCCTGACCTATGGGTGTGCTGGGTCAGATGAGGCCTTGGCCTGACTCAGCAGGGACTTTCTTCTGCTATGGCAAGAAAGTGGAAATGAGACCTTCTCTTCCTCTCCTTCTTGTTCCTTTTCTCCCAGGCTTGACCCCAGCATGAGACAACTTCTTTGGGTGATTATTCTTGGAGCAAGTGGTAAGTGCTGAGAAATTGGATACACCGGCTGGATGCGGACTCAGGGCTGATTATGGGGTGAACAGAGGTTATCCGGTTGTCTGAACCCAGCTGAGATAATGTGTGGGTCACAACCACCGGCAGCATTTTCCTCCCTGCTCCCACTCCTCCGCAAGCATCACTGGTGTTTGAACCTGTGGGTTTTAGCACAGCTATCATACCCAGCATCATGGAAAATGCTGGCTGGGGATGATGGGAATTGCTGAAAATATCTCCAGAAAGCATCAACTCGGGCAAGGCTGATTTAATGTTCAATGTGGATAAGTGCAAGGCCTCGCACTTGGGGCATAGGAATGGGTGTCATAAGTACAGGTCAGGGGACAAGTGGCTGGAGAGCAGCACTTGTGGAAGGGACCTCGGGGTGCTGGTCGACTGCAGGCTGAACATGCGTCAGCAGTGCGATGTGGTGGCCAAGAGGGCGAACGCCACCCTTAGTTGCATAGCCAGAAGTGTGGCTTCTAGATCAAGAGAGGTATCACTACCACTCTACATGACTCTAGTGCGCCCGCAACTGGAGTATTGTGCTCAGTTTTGGGCCCCTCGTTACAGGAAGGATATGGCCAGGTTGGAGTCAGTGCAGCGTAGGGCCATAAGGTTGGTGGCCGGTTTGCAGGGGATGGGGAACGAGGTGAGACCGAGGGAACTGGGTCTCTTCAGCCTGGAGAAGAGGAGACTCAGAGGGGATCTGTTGGCGACATACAGGTATGTGAGGGGATGTCACACAGAGGTGGGTAGAGACCTGTTCTCCCCTGCAGAGGAAGGCAGGACGCGCTCCAATGGAGCCAAGCTCAGGGAACCCAGGCTCCATTTGGATGCCAGGAAGCACTTCCTGACAGTCAGGACCCCGAGGGTGTGGAATGAGCTTCCATGAGAGGTGGTTGAGGCCTCATCGGTGTGGGTGTTCAAGGACAGGCTGAAAATGCACATGGTGGGCATGTCGTGAGTGGAGCTGGCAAGAGCCAGGGGTCAGACTAGATGGCCCGGGAAACCCCTTCTGACTTGCTCTGCTTCTATGTTTCTGTGTCCCATAAAATGTGTATTGGTGAATCATCACTAGTAAGCACCCCACTCCCCAGAAATATGGACTTCAGAAGTCCTAGTGCTCCTGTCTGGCTCACTGCCTTTCCCCAACCACAGTTCCCATCATCCCCTGCCACTCTCCCCACACTGGTACCTTGCACTCCTGCCTGTCCCTTCCAGCCCTTTCTGTTGGCAATGGGAGCCTCCTGCATTTCAAGGCCATGATTGAGACGATCACGCAGGAGAACGCCCTCATCTTCTTCAACGGCTACGGCTGCTACTGCGGGAAGAGCGGACGAGGGAAGCCCCGGGACGAGACCGACCAGTGAGCGTGGCTGGGCCGGGGGCCTGCGAGGCATCGCCGGCGGTCCGGGGGGACTCTGCGTGGAAGGGATTCCCATGGGGGGGGGGCTGGAACCAACCACTGAGTGCAGCTACCCCTCCAAGGGGCTCATGGACTGTTAGGGGGGCTGCCTTGCATTCCGACATGGCCTGGTCTCTTCGGATCCTGGAATGCTGGAGCTGGATGGTGACGGTGTTGCCCCGTCCCACCCATTCATGGCTGGTATGGAAAGAACCCCTCTGGGTGTCCCCACGGGGCTTTGGAGGGGGTGAAGAGACATCTAGGGCGGGCGGGAAGGGGAGCAGGCTGGGGCTGTGGAGTGATGCCGATTCCTACCAGCGCCCTGCTCCTTCCTCTCTGCTCCAGGGGCTAAATCTGGACTGCAGTGCCGGGTGCGGGGGAAGCTGTGCCCCCCACCTCACTCCTGTGGGATCCCCACAGTGCACACCGGTGCAACCCATCAATAGCAGCATCCCTGACACGCCCCTGGGCGTGCGTCAGGGGCTCCCCGACCTTTAGGGCCCTTCTACTCCCGCCCCACAAGCCCGAGCGAAGGTTGAGTTTCCTTTCTTGATTATCAGGGTCACCTGCTGTAAGCACCTTGCCCGGAGCAGAAAAGCTGGTGGGCGGGGTCACATGAGCGCATGTCCCGGCCACCCTGCTCTTCCGGGGGCGGGCCGGGGCGGCTGCTGGAACCCGCACAGGACCAGCCTCGACGGAGCTCCCCTTTGCCGACGCTGGGGCTGGCTCTGGCTCTGCGGCCCCGGCCTTGGGGGAGGGCGCCCGCTGGCCAAAAGCGCTTGCCAGAGGAGGCCGGGGGCCAGTGCCGGACGGCCCAGCTGCCCCCCCGCCCGTTTTTCCGCTGTCCCCGCAAGGTGCTGCTATCACCACGGCTGCTGCTACGAGGACCTGCACGAGCAGGGCTGCCATCCGCACATCGATCACTACAGCTACGCCATCATCCACAGGGACGTGTTCTGCAGTGAGTGGCGGGAGGGAAGGCCGCGATGGGAGCCTTTGGAGAAGGGCTGAAGAGCACAGAAGAGAGCTGGGAGGGGCCAGCAGGCTGTCGGGTCCCACCCTGGCTCCTGCAGGATGCTGGGTTATGCCATCCCACCCAGAGGACGGTCCAGGCACTTTCGGAAAGGCTCCGCTGCGGCTGTGGGCATCTGGGAAATGGGGAGTTCCAGACCAGGAGAGGGACAAATGGCATCTTGCAAATATGGGGCGATCCAGGGGTGCCAGCGCTCTGACTGTAGGGCCACACCACCTCATGGGGTTCTGCCAAGGGGTGGGGCTTAGACTCCAAGCCACGCCTCCTGAAGGATTCCCTTGAGGGCATCCACTCACTCTCTAATGGCAGGGTTGGGAGGACGGACGGACGGAGACTGATCTGCGTATTCCGGGAGAGGGGCCCCTTTGACCCGCACGGGTGACTTCCATTGCCTCCAGCCCCACTGCTATTCTGCCCCATAGCATTTCGCTCTGGGCTCTCTTGTTATCTCTCAATTTACTTTTGTGTAAGCACGTGTGGTCCTGATTCCTATCCCATGATTCCGAAGAAGCACTCCCCGTGGCAGCCTGCTTAGCGGCAACCCAGTCCCAAACCCACGCAGGCAGCTGATCTGGCCCATCCCTTTCCCTTTATATGGGTCTTCTGTGGGTCTTCGGTAAAGCAAAATTGCCCACTTTAATTGCCCACTCAAGACTGAGTTGCCCCTGATACTTTGCATTAGGACAGGGTGGTTTAAAATAGTCACTGGGTAAAAATGGGTGGTGAGTGGTGTTAAGCTGGGGAATGGGGAGATCTGGGTTCGAGTCCTCCCTTGGCCATAAAGCGCTGGGTAGCTTTGGACTAGCCATGGACTCTCAGCCCAACCTACCTCACAGGGTTGTTGTTGTGAAGAAAAAACATAGTCAGGTAAGCTGCCTCGGATTCCTTACAAGAGGAAAAGAGCAGCAGATAAATATAGTGTAATAATTAGGAAGACGATGACAACGATGATGGTGATGGTAGGTTAAAAGAAAAGAAAGAAAAAGAGTCAGTGGTTCAGAGAGCCTAATAAATCATGCTTGAGGGTTGATTATAGTTTGAGTCTGGGTTGCTGTGTAGTGTGAACCCAGCCAACCTAATAAACCATGGTTTGTTAACCATGTCCAGAAACTATAGTTTGTTGGTTGTGAATTGTGAGTTGTTCTTGGTTAACAAACCATGGCTATGAACATGTCTGGCTTCAGACAACATGATAACCTTTGTTTCAACAACAACCCACAGTTCAGCAAAAACTCACACTCAGTCCATACTCAGCCCCTTCCTGTGTTGTCTGAACCCAGCCAACAGAAGCCAAATTGGGTAGTTTTACCTAGAGCCTGGAGGGAATGAATCCTCACAGGATCAAGTCCCAGCTTAGGGGTGGAAAATCATTTTCCATTGGCACCGGATCCCGCTGCTGAACAGCTCGATTTGGTATTCTCTGAGCCACATAAAAAACTAAAGCATCCACAGTTGCCTCACGAAATGTTCCAGGTGAGGCTGCATGGCCCTGTCATCCGGCCGTCCTAAGAAGCTCCGTTGCTTCTGCAGAGTACAGAAACAAGTCCACCTGTGGCATGTGGGCCTGTGAGTGCGACCGGAAGGCGTCGCTGTGCTTCAGGAAGCAAGCCCAGACGTACAACAAAAAGCTCCGCCATTACCCCATTCTCTTGTGCAAGGAGAGCACCCCCAAATGTTCACAGGATGAGAAGCCGCAGGACAGATTGCCAAAGGCACAAACCAGAAAGCCTTTAAGTCAAGGAACGCACGGCGGGTCCCCAGCCCAACAGAAGCCTCGGACGACCCCTCCGCAGAAAGGACGTGTTGCATGAATTTAAAACGTGGCTACATTTTCGCTCTGGAATGTTCGAACAGTTTGCATGTTAAAGCTGTTCCAAATTCATGAAGTTGATGTCCTTTTCGAAAGGATACTTTTGCTCAAAAGAAAAGGATGCAATGACAGTCCATGGAGCAATTTGCTAAATTAATACACTGACACAATGGGTTCTCCCTATCCCAACGTGATTGTGTGATCATAACTGTCTGTCCATGTGTGTAAAATAAACACTTGCGTATTTATTTTAAGCATCTTTTACTCCTTGTCTAGGAGACACCCAGACTGGCTCAGCAAAGCAGAATGAAGCCGCTCAGGAAGGAAAGCAAAATTCATGGGGAAGCCTGCGCTGTTACGCAGTCTTGATTCACACGCAGGCCAGGGTTGATCTTGGATATCCCCTTTCTGTACATTCTCCCCTTATCTTAATACGTTGGTTTGCTTGTGTGACTGGGAAGCAAAGAGGATTTTATCACCCCCACTGCAGACCTGCCGTTTTCTTTCCTCTCTCACCAGAAACTGGCCATGTTCATATCTTAGACATGGCCATTCCAAGCAATGATTTTGTCTTGACCCCAAACCATTTTGTAAGGTCTTCCAGCCAAGACCTCCTTCTTCCAATGTTTCTTTCCCTGTTTGTTCTCCCTTGAATACACAACATGTGTTTTTTTTCTCATTATGCAACCACAATATCCTAGTTTCCTGAATGGCACACGGTGTATAATCTCTGGATCTTTTAAATAATTGCTTTTCACCCCCACCGTCTGTGAAATTGGTAATATCTGGTAATAAATCCACAGTGTGCAAAGCACCATAAAAAGCCCATGCTCAGAGCTAGTTCTACCTTCTTGTTACTCTACAGTTTTCATCTTATAAAAGATACTCTGGGCCATCTCAAGTCTAATTTTTATCGCATTACGATCATCCTATTGTTCATTCAACCACATTCCAAGATATTTCTCAACCACACTTTCACCTTGTAACTTCTTTTCTGGGACTACTCACTTTGCACGAATTACCACGCACCTGGTTTCCTTAAAGTTTGCTTTTTGACCATGCTTTTCCTTTACTTCAGTGAGCGTGGGTGCAAACCCAGGGTCACCCGGCACTGTCCGGGGCCCTGGATTACTTGAAGCCCCAGCTCCGGGGCCCTCTAAGTGCTGAGCTTGTGATCCACCCCCGCCTTGGGCAGTGCAGACAGAACTGTGTTGGCCGCCTCTCCGTGGTTGGAACCAGCCTCGGAGAGGAGGAAGATGGTGTGCTGGGGTTGGGCAGACAACAGAGGCTTGGCTGATGGGTTATGTTGTGTCGAGATGGTGCCCACCTTCCTTTCCAGTGCTGCTTGTTCCAGACCGCGGCAAATGGCCATCTGGATGGAGCGCAGGGCACCTTACCTAGGTGCAGACTCGTGATGTGCCATTGTGGTTGGCTGGGCTCTTGGGGGTGCCCCACAAGGCACACCTGGCCCCCCAGTTTTGAGCTCCCACTATGCACAAATATTTGTATGCACACCTCCGCCCCACAGCTTTCCCGGGTGGGGTACTCTTCCTCCTCGGCTGTGCTTGGACAACAGCTGGGCAGGGGCGCTTCCCTGGGAGGTTTGTGGAAGATTTGCAGGGAATGGGCAACCAGGGGTCCCAGTGGCCGCTGGTTTAGCTGCAGCCAGGACCACCTGGCTCCCCAAGCCCCTAAATAGGGCTGCGGAGCCTGGCATGGATATCTGGGCAAAGGAGTTGCTAGCACGGTGCTCAGCAAAGCACCCTTTTCGGGGCTGAGGTGCCCCTTTCTGCAAACCCAGCTGATGCGGAGCTGCTCAGAGGGACCGTTTATGCCTGAGGAAAGCAAAGGCAACCCCACAAACCTGACTTCAGCTTGGCCCTGCAGGGAGCTGGCTGGGCTTTCCTGCCCCTTCCTGACTCAGTGGCTTGGCTCGAGGACACAGCACAAGGCCAATCAACTTGAGCTGAATCCTGGCAGGATGGAAGCCCTGCGGAGGAGTGCTGGACCAGGGTGGAATCCCTTGCCTCTTCTGGATGGGCTGCACTCGCTCTGAAGGGTAGCCTGAGGGTACGCCTAGATCCAGCGCTGGTGCGGGAGTCTTGGGTGTCTGGCCTGGCCTGGAGAGCCTTTAGCACCTCTGGGGGTCCTCCAGGCACGGCCACCCCTGGCCACGGCAGTCCCAGCACGCCACCTCGGCTGGGCTAGTGCGCTGGCTCAACACAGGGGCTGCTCCGGAAGCTGCAGCCAGCCGAGAACGCGCAGCCCCGGGGCGGCCCCTGTCCAGCTGCTCTGCTGGGGAACGGCACTGGCTGCCTCTTCTCCACCGGCCAGGTGACCGCTGTGCTCCCGGTGTGCAGCGCCCTGCGCGCTCTGGGACCAGGCGCTGGGGCAGCAGCTTCTCCCTGATCCACCTGCCTGGCCCCAGGGTCAGCGAAGGACTTGCTTCCGCTGCCTCACCAGGACCTACAGCCCCACTTCTAGAGTCCTCTGGGGGAAGGGCCTTCACTGTGGTGGCCCCGTTCCTCTGCAGGACCACCTGAAACCATCTTTGTGGGCTGAACAGCCGTGGCTTTTATTTTAAAATACGGTTTTATTCTTTTTATCTTTTGCTTTCCACCCTGGAATCTATTTAGATATGGAGAAGTATAAGAAAGAAATTCTTCAGAAATGAGATGGGCCTGCAGAAGCCTCCCCACACTTGGGACCCTCCAGATGCTGCTGGACCACACCTCCACCATGGGCCTTCTGGCAGCCGAGTCCAGCACATCTGGAGGGTGTGGGAAGGCTGAGCACAGCCACTCACCTGGGCAGGTACTTTTTGGAGGCGACTTGGCTGCCTTGGTTGTGCTTTCTTTTGTGTGCAGGCCCCCACCAGAGCAGCTCCCACTGCAGAACTGCCAGCCAGCGCAGTCCTAGCCGAGTCTACATAGAAGCAGGTCCCCTGCTGTTCACACACACACACAATGACCTCCAATCTCTCCTCTTTTGGCTGGCCATCGATTAGGATCCCCAGCAAAAAGCAATCCCATCCGCTTTATTACCTCTGTCTTGCTGCTATGTGGGGTGGGGGGGGGGCAGGCTGAGAGGACTCTACAACGGCCCTGCCGAGCTATCCCATTTTGTTATCGTCCTATTACTGGCTGGAGGGCAGAGTCGGAAAAGGGGTCTACAACAACCCTGCAGGCCAGGCCAGGCCAGTGGGGGGGGGGGGGCTTAGTGTACATTAGGACAGCCCTCCCTGCAAGGTAGCCCAATAGGTTCTGGGGCAGCCATGCTCCTGCCCAATCGCGCCTCACTTAAAGTCCCGGATCCCTCCACATTTTCTGACAAGGGCAGCACTCGGTTCGCTTTTCCCCGTTGCTTTCCAGCAATGGGAGGACTGGCACTAAAGCGAACCAGGAAGCGCTGTCTCCTAAAAAGAGAGAGTGCCTCTACATTTGAGAGTCTATGGGGTAGCGTCCAATCTTGTTAGCGCTGCGGCTAAAAAGTTCAGGCAGCGGTTCACGCTAACTGGCCTGGCTCTATAGTCGCGACGCGCTGCGGGCCCTCTGACGTCATTAGGCGCCGCCGCGACCCCCTCTGACGGCATTAGGCGTCGCCGCGGGCGGAGGGGACGTTCCTTGCGGAAGTCGGTCGGAGGCGGACGCGGACGCGGAGGCGGACGCCGTGCGCGGGTAGGGGGCGGGGGGCGCCGAGCCGTGTCTCCGGTGCCGGGTGCGGCGGTGTCGCCAGGGGAACGCGGGCCTTGGGTGGGGCCTTCCCGGGGCGGGGCGGGGCGAGCGGGGCGGGGCTCGTACCCCGAGGGCCCCCGCAGGTGGGTGCGCACTGAGGTCTCACGGGGCGAATGTGGGGAGGAGGCTCAGGCCAGGCAGGCCTCCTCCTTCCTGCCCTTATGGGTTTACCCCCCCCCCCACACACTTTTTCTCGTGCCCCACCGCTCTTTCATGGCTTGACAACAACCTCGTGAGGGAGATCAGCGTGACCCACGGGGTAGGTTAGGCTGAACTCCAGGGACTGGCCCCAAATCTCCCAGTGGCTTCATGGCTGTGTGGGGGTTAGAATCCAACATGATGCCCCAGTTCCTCTTTAACCCCCCTCCCTTTCCTTCCTTCATGCTCCCCACTCCCTCCCCTTCCTTTTAAAAAAATAATTCCGTTTCTAGCTTGCCTTTTCCTCCTTCTGCAACCTAAGGTGCCTTAAATAGCCTTCCTCCTCAACCCTGTGAGTCGGGTTCACCCAGCTTCATGTCTGAGCGGGGACTCAGTCTTGGGCCTCCTGGGCCCCGGTCCAGCAGTCCAACCACTGAGACACACTAGGCTTCAGCAAATAAAGATATTTTTAGGTCCATTCATGCCATCATTCAGAGCACATTTTTCATGAGAAAGAGAATTGAGTTCATATTCTGAAAAAAGAGGATTCAGTTCATATTTTATCTGTAGATCTAGGTGTAACTACTGGCAGGAGAATAAAGTGGACACCAGCTGTGAATTCAACCATAACACACGTCCTTCATACAGAGGACCTAATAGCCACTTGTCTTGCAGTCCTGTCTGCTATTTCTGCTTCTGAGATCATAACCCGTTTTAATACTCTGACTGATAGATTTCAGGATTAACAGGATGAATAATGGCCCAAGGAAAACTCAAAGCATCTTTCATTTGGTTCGATAATGAGTGTCAACAGGCTAAAAGAGTTGGTGAGACTCTATCATAAACATAAATACCCAAATTCAGATCTTTTGACTAATAAATATGTCTCCTTTAGGCAAAATATAAACTATAAAAGTATAAAGGCAAAAGTATAAAGATGAAAAAAACCGATAACAATCTGAAGACTGTTTTATTCCAATTATTGCTTGCTAGTTGCGAAGTTGTGTCCGACCCATCATGACTCCGTGAACAACACTCCTCCAGGCGTTCCTGTCCTCCACCATCCCTCAGAGTCCCCGCAAGCCCACACCCGCCTCCTCAGTGACTCCATCCAGCCACCTCATCCTCTGCGTCCCCTTCTCCTTTTGCCGTTAATCGTTCCCAGCATCAGGGTCTCCTCCAGGGAGTCCTTTCTGCTTATTAGATGATTCCAAGTATTAGGTCACACTTTTATCCCGTAATTCCTCCAAGAAACCCAAAGCAGCATTCAGTGGTCTTCCCCACCACCCTGCAAATGGTGTGGCCCCAGCACAACTCAGATTCTCAAGTCTACTTTGGCACCTTGAAAGGAGTATTTTTCCCTGACATTGGTGATTATTGACCTGAACCATCTTCAACAGAGGCATAAACCATCAGGCTTGCTTCTCTAGGTACCAATGTTGCACAATGTGGGTTATGAAAAGTGGTACGATGAGCTGGCCGGTATTAAAGGGGCTGCTAGATAATTTATTTCAAGACTAGTAGATAGCCAAACTTTTCATTTATACATACAAGCTTAAAACTCAAAAATGATGGTAGTATACCTTTGAGGCCCTGGATCAAAACAATTTTCTTCAACACGGCCTGCTCTGGCTGTTAATTTTGGCTTGTCATTAGCTATTTTATTGCTTTTGTGTGCTGTTTCTTTCTGATTATATTTTGAGTTTTAAGGATAATGGGCTTCTAATATAGCCATGAATTTTCCCATGACTTGCCTTGTTTGTTTGTTTGTACATGTATTTATAGGCTGCCTATAATTGCAGAGGCCTTCCTAGGCGGCAATTATATGGAAAGGCAGCATGCATGAACAGGATAAATAAAATGTGATAACATAAGTAAACATGAATAAATAAAACATTATAACAGTCCTCTTTCAGGGTGATCAGTTCAGATCTAGAATCTATATTTAGAAGGATATAGGAGCCCCTTCAGTTGACTTGGTCACACAAGTGAAGAAGCCATGTTCTAGATTTCCATGGCTTTCTATAATCTTTGAGTTAGGGCTGTAAAAATCTTACCACAGTGAAGAAGGGGAACAAGTATTCCCTGAGCAATGAGCATTTTGTATCAATGCATATCCAGGCAAGGTTCTGTTTAATTGCACATAGAGTGTATCCAGCATAAATAACCATATTCTCATTTTAATTAAACTTATGGTGGATAAAACCAGCCTGTCCACTGGCACAGCTAGCAAGAGATCCCCTACCATCCCGCTTGGCTGTTGTGCTAATCAGGGGACACTTTCCGGGAGGTACCTAAGATTTTGTCGGTCTGGTTCCCTGTGAGCATTTTGTATGGTAGTGTCCATTCTCTGCAGCTTCCCACCAGGGGCCAACTCTTGTGGCTTTTTTGTGTGTACTGAAAAAGCCCTTCGCAAGAGGAATTTCAAGGAAGGTTAATCGTGTCCCCTCCCTGAAGACATTTTTGCACATTGCTTAGAAATGTTAAGGCAAGCAATTCACAAGAATGGTTAAATTAAAGGGAAAAAATCAACGTGCTGTAGGAAACCTGCCTCCATCGGTTAAGGTTGGCACAAAGGCACTTTGGCCAAGCAGATTGTTGAACTGAGGTTCTAGGCAGGGCAGATGTCGATATTGCTGGTGGTGGCAGACGCAGAGATGAGGGCATCAGTGGTTCAACCGGCACTTAACATTTGAAGCCATTCTCCTCTTCCTTCTCCAGGCATATACTGTCAGGATGGATGCTGCCGGGCGCCCTTCAACAGGCCAGGTTATTCTCCTGGCAACCAGCTCAGCTGTCACTGCAATTCTGTATGCCATTTACAGACACAAGTCAAAGGTGGTGCACAGCCTGAAGGTCAGTTCCTGCTTGCAGAGCTTTGGATATTGGGCTGTCCAAAAATAGAGATAATAACAATAAGGGTAGACTATCCCTGAATGTCGTTCCTGAAAAAAATGTATAGCTATTTATTCCTTGCCATCTGGCCCACTTCTCAACTGCCGGAATGACTGCACCTTCCATTAAAAACCAGAATGTGTGAAAGGCAAAACTTTTAATGCTGTCGGTTGTGAGAACAGAGCATCCCTGCACCTTCGTCCACTCAGTGATGAATAAATCCAGACGGCGAGAAGGAAAGCCAGCGCCTAAGAAAGATGGCTCGTGGATGCTGTTTGGAACACTGTGAAGTCCAGCAAGAAAAGGCTGGTCCTGAAAGCGAGACCTGTGCTCCTGCCTCTTCGAGAGCACGGTCGGGCTGGGGCATGCTAGAAGTTGTGGGACTTCTCTCCACACCTGGGTTGTATGGTGCCCTTAAATCGTTTGTTTTGTTTCCTGGAAAGGGAGGCCCCCACCAGCCGCGTCGTGGTCGGAGCACATATTCTGTGGCCTCCGTGCTGATTCCATCCAGCTTTGCTGTTTCTGGAATGTCGGAATCTGCTTTACACACTTTCAGGCTGCTGGTCCATCTTGCACAGTGCTTTCTACTCCTTTTGCAATTTGAAGAACTCTCCCAGGCACCAGAAATTCTATGTGCTGCCATTGAAAGCTCCCAGTTGCCAATTTCCCTTTCTTAAGAATGTCTCCAAAACCCACATTTTGTTCAGGGACATTCATGGGGGGAAAGGTGGGAGCAGCTGGAAGCATTTTCTCGAAGGGTTCCCAGCTGCCAGGAAGAACTTTTGTTGTTTAAAATTGTAATCATTTAGGGGGGAGGTATAAGCCAAGCAAGCAGACTGAGGGTACTGTTGGATCTGTGGGCACCCCATTGCTGCCCTTCTACACTGCCTTGTATCAGCTAGTCATGATGCCAGTGGCTGAGTCGAAGACCTTTCCATACAGAGCATGTGCTCTACATTTGTGTCCAAATTGCACCATTAGTCTGTACCCATAAGCCTGTGGGAGCAAGTGTGTGGGTGCTGAGTGTGCAGCGAGGGTGTGCCTTACAGCCGTGACCTGTGCACTGCCAGCCTCCTGGGGAGGCCGGTCAACTTAAGTTTTCCAGAATTCAGGATGGAGGGAGGGAGGTATGAAAAAGACCGTGTTCAAAGCCACATTCTCTGCCTGTGAGCACTCAGTGTGACTGCTCATTGAACAAGAAAAATGACTGCAGTTGGAGAAAACAGCGGCTCTTACAGTAATGGTGCCAAAAGGCACAGGAAAGGTCTGCACTGTTCCCTGTTCAGCTGCTAAAAACCTTCAGGGAAGTTTTGCCTGCTGGCTGAGTGCTGCTCTCATTGATGCAATGTACTCTCTTCGCAGCAGAGCTGCTCATGGAGGAGCATTGCTTCCAAGGGTTCCGCTTCTCTTTTCTGTTTGCAAATGTAAATGTCCTTCGTTCCTCTTTGCTAGGGAGCCAAGAAAGTCTCCCTGGACCAGGACTTGAAGAGCATCCTTATGGAAGCACCAGGGAAGTGTATTCCCTACGCGGTGATTGAAGGTAATGTCTGAACCGTGCGGATTGCCAAGGCCATATGAGTTTTGGGCCGTTCGACTTCCAGTCTATTCTGCCTGATGGCATGAATCCACACTAAAAATGCAAACACACTCAGCCCCTTAAAGCACCTTTTCGCCATTTTATAACTGCATTTCCCCAGCCCAAGGCAGCTTATCTGATCATTAAAACTCCAGTACAATAACATAGAAATAAAGGCAAATCATGAAGGGGTTGGAGCAATTCCTCTGCCAGGAAAGCTTACAAGGTCTAGAACTGGTTAGCTTAGAAAAAAGGGGGCGTAGAGGCAGAAGGGGACTGCTGGTGGCGCAGTGGTTTAAACGGCTGTGCTGCGGGGCTGGTTGATCGAAAGGTCGCCGGTTTGAACCTGCACAATGGGGTGAGTTCCTGTTGCTCCGTCCCAGCTCCTGCCAACCTTGCAGTTCGAAAGCATGCAAATAGATGCAAGTAGATGAAAAGGTACCACTTCGGTGGGCAGGTAACAGCATTCCGTGCACCTCGGTGTTCAGTCATGCTGGCCACACAACCACGGAGACTGTCTGCGGACAAACGCTGGCTCCCTCGGCCAGGAAACGGAGATGAGCACTGCCCCCAAAGGTCAGGCATGACTGGACGTAACGTCAAGGAGAAACCTTCATCTTTACCTTTTTAGAGGCAGATGTGATGGAGGTGCACGAAAGTGTTCATGAGGTAGAGAAGGCGGATAGGGTGCCATTTTTCTCTCCCGTAATGCTAGAATCCAAAAGGGCAACCTCTAGAAGCTGACCCTTGGGAGGTTCAGGACGGATAAAAGGACTTGTGCTGCGTAAATGGTGGGACCCACTCTGCAGCCCTGCTGTAGCAGCAACAGCTGCCACACTGCAGGTAGAAGAAGCTCAGTGCAGGGCCTGGCTGGCAGCTGGCAGCTGGCGGCACTCAATGGAAGGCCCACTTCTTTTAAATCACAATTGTGATGTTGCGAACTTGGAAGTCGGCTCGCAAAGCAGCCCAAATGTCCTCACGCGAGCCCCGGGAATCCCTTTCAAGAGAGGCCTGACTTGCCTTCTTATTGGTGACCTTCTGGAAGGCAGTGCAGAATCTCTTCTTTAGGAAGCTTGGAATGGTATGTAATTGTGATTAGCTGTTTGAATTGGCCTTTATTTTTTAAGAAAGTGCATATATTTGAGTGCTGCTACGTTAATCTGCTGGCTCTCTGTGTTTTGTGTCATGCTGTAAAGGTTCCAATTTTGTTTTGGCGAAAGTATTGGCTTTGTTGCAAGCCACCTTAAGAGCTCCTCAGGGGTTAAGGCAGGATATAAATGTTGATCTGTAAGCAAACAAATAAATGGACACGTTGGGACCTACGTCCTCAATGTGGAATGTCAGCTTTTTATTTATTAAAGATATTTCTACCCTGCCTCTTTTTTCTTGGAACATTCTAAGGTGGCTTACTCGAGCCACCGCCTCTTCTCCATCTTATCCTCACAGCAACCCTGTGAGGTAGGTCAGCTTGAGATGTGGCCCCAAGCCACCAAGGACCTCCAAGGCTAAGCAGAGGTTAGAATCCAAATCTCAGGAGTCCCTGTACATTTTCCTGTAAATCCATGAACTTTGAGCTTTCAGGCAGTATGGACACTTGGTCCGCTGCAGCTCACCAAGCGTTCCCTCAAGGCGCATGTGCAGGTGGCTGTTATGGTGCCCCTTCCCACCTGCTTTTCGCCTCAAAGGTTGCTTTTTCTGTCCTTTGTGTGGCTGCGTTTATATCAGGAGTCAACTGGAGGCTGGCTTGGGCCTTCCTCTCCCCGGGAAGGTCGGTGTGGCACACAGATCAGCTGAGTGAGCGGGCGGGGATGGAGAGAGGACCCTTAAAACTGCGGTGCCATTTCTGGTTGGAGGCAAGTTCCTTTCCCACCGGAGGAGTCTAAGGAGTTCACATGCCCCAGATTTCATGAAGAAGGCTCCCGTTCTGTTGCCACCCACTCAAAACCAGGAAGTGGCATAGAGAAAGTGTGGAGGGTTCGACCATTCTCCCTTTCAGAGCGTGCAGCGCATCTTCCGAGTGCTTCAGGCACATGGCTGGGCGACACCTTGTCCCCCCTGCCCCGTTCCTTCCATTGCCTCATTGTTTTGACCTTCTGCATAGGAGCACTTGGGTGTGCTGCCTGGCTCACAGTCTGTCTTTACTAACACGAAGACTCCGGTCACCGAAGGCGTTGCCGGCTGCCACCCCTCTGTTACATGGCAGGGGTTCTGCTAGGACTTCTCAGCGGTTGGTTTTCCTCACTGCTTGACAGGTGTGGTGCAGTCCGTCAAGGAGACGCTCAGCAGCCAGTTTGTGGAGAACTGCAAGGGAGTGGTTCAGAGGCTGACCCTGCAGGAGCACAAGATGGTGTGGAACCGCACCACCCACCTCTGGTAGGTGCATTGCTCCCCGCAGGCTGAGAGCTGGCCTGCAGTCGCCCAGGGAGCTTCAGCGCCCAGCAGAGATTAAGAGCGGCTCTCCCACGTTGGCGTGGAAATTGGCCCGGAGCGCTGTCGGCTTTCATGGTTTCATGGGCTGGTGGAACGGGTTGGAGGAGAATTTCCTGGCGAAAGCGGAAGAAACCCTTAGGGAGGCCTGGGTCACTATGTGTTTGATCGTTCTTAAGGATTTATATCCTGTCCCTCCGCCTAAATGATCCCCAAGAGCATTGCAGACGTACACAATTGAGAACAAAGCCATTGGTGGGTCAGCTGAGAGAGGGGAACATTGCATCCATCCCGAAGCGAGGGTCCGCATGCGGCGCTGCTGAGTTACCATCTCTGAAGAAGTTCGGTTGGACAGCCACTGGCTTGAACTGTGATGAGGCTTTCACGCCAGTGCCCAGATGCTGATATTCTCGTCAGCCGCATCGGTCCTCTTGCACCTTAAGCTTGTAATAAAATTGCTGCGAGAGGTACTTTGCGCAGTTTATTGAGACCTGGCGCCCTTGCACACTGACTCTCCCTGCTCATTTGTACCTGTCAGCAAAGGCAGGGCGTTCTATTTATGATGGAGTGGACTGTAATCCGCAAAGATGTGTGCCGTTATAAATTTGCTAGCCTCTAAGATGCTGCTGGACCACTTCTGCTCCATCCAACATGGCTGGTGACCACGGGTCACGGGTGTCGTAGGGTCTCAGCGTGTGGCAGGCGGCACGTTCCCCATCCCTGCTTTAAGCTTTCTGAATGCTGCACAGAGACTTTTTTTAGCTCATCACTGTCTGGATTTATCATCGTAGTACAAAAGGAAAAAGGGAGAAAGAGGGAAGGAGAGAACGAGAACAACAACAGCAACCCAGACACAAATTCTTTGTAGTGTTTGTGTAAGGCAGTACAACCAGTGGGCCATCTTCGATTCAAAGCACTTCTTGTTTTGTTCTTGCTGCCCAGGAATGACTTTGAAAAGATCATCCACCAGAGAACCAACGTGGCGACTTTTGATTTGGTGCCCCAGGAAGGAGGAGCGGGTGTCTCCGTGAGGGTGCTGAAGCCCCTGGATGCCACGGAACTCAGCTTGGAGACGGTGTATGAAAAATTCCACCCCTCCGTACAGTCCTTCACGGACGTGATTGGCCACTACATCAGCGGCGAGAGGCCTAAAGGCATCCGGGAGACGGAGCAGATGCTGCGGGTGGGGGCCGTGCTCACCGGGGTGGGGGAGCTGGTCCTGGACGATCACGCCGTCAGGCTGCAGCCCCCCAAGCAGGGCCTGCATTACTACCTCAGCAGCCTGGACTTCGACTCCCTGCTCCAGAAGCAGGAGTCCAGCGTCCGGCTCTGGAAGATCCTGACCGTCGTCTTCGGCATGGCCACCTGCGCCGTGCTCTTCTTCATCCTGCAAAAGCAGTACCGCCGGCACCAGGAGAAGCGCCGCCTGCGCCAGATGCAGGAGACGGTCGCGGCGGCGGGGGACGCGGCCAACACCTGCGTCATCTGCCTGAGCAACGGCCGCTCGTGCGTCTTCCTGGAGTGCGGGCACGTGTGCTCCTGTGACAAGTGCTACCAAGCGCTGCCGAGGCCCCCCCACTGCCCCATCTGCAGGCAGCAGATCGCCAGAGTCGTGCCTCTGTATAACAGCTGAGTTGCGGCGGCTCCTCGTCAGCGCGGGTCCTTTCGGGGGTGCGGCCGGAGCCCTGCGCGCAGTAGAGACAGAGCCGAGCCGTGTCGCTTCGAGGGGCAAACGAGGATCCAAAACGTTTGACAGTCACTGTGCCTTTGGAACTGGACCGCTCGCCCTCGCTTTGGATAGTATCCCTGAATGAAGGTTCCTCTCCACGGAGAATTCACATGTGCACAGCTGTGTGTGGTGTCTAACTCAGCCTTCCCCAGCTAGACACTCTCCAGGTGTGTGGGACTACAGCTCCGATAAACCCCCAGCTGGGGGATTTTGGAAGTTGTATTCCAACACCACTAGAGGGCACCTGGTTGGGGAAAGGTTGCGCAAACCAGTCTGCGTATTTTTCCTGTATGAGAACAAGCAGGATCATGTTTCTAGATTAGCCTGTTTCTTTGAGTTACCGTTTGCTAGTGCTGCACGGGTTCTGCCCTAAAAACAGTTAAAGATCTCAGTTCTCTCCTAAGAGACTCCAAATTTAGCGCCCTGAATAAAATCATCTTGCGTTGCTTCACCTTTAAGTTTGCTTCCAGCTTTCCTGAGTTCAAACGACTTAGTGAGGAGGTGGCCGAATGCCAGCAAGGAGCAGGCCAGAGAACAAACCGCGTGTGGGAATTTCGAGCGGGGTTGGAGGGAGTCCTTAAAGAGCGACAGGGAGCGCTTTCCCTCTGGCCCACATGTGCCAGCAGACATGCTTGGCCTGCCTTCCTCTGCTCTGCTGAGCATTTGTTCAGGAAAAGGAAACGTTTCTTCACATTGTGTAATTATTTGTTGGCTTTCACTGCCCTGAGGTCACTGGCGTAGCTGCCATGGCTTAGATCCTCAACTAGTTAGGGCTGCCCTCGGACTGTGGCTACTGTGGAATGCAACTTTCCAGAAGCTTCTGAGGGCTATGGGGCGGAGTATAGGCTCATTGCAGGGCTTCCTTTAAAGCGTCCCTCCTGGACTGGGACCAGTTTGCTTGATGAACCATTTGCGCTCTGGTGAGCCCTTCTGAGCCTTCAAATCATCCACAGGGGCCCTGCCTGCTGACCCCCCCTCAATGGACATCACTGAGGGGGCAGGAGCTTGAGGCAGGGGAATTTCTGCAGTGGCTTTCCACTTCTCTCTGCCCTCGTTTTCCTGTAGGTGAGTCCCGAAGCCATTGCTTCAGCCTCTAGGGAGTGGTCAGACCATACGCTTTGCAGCCGGGAAGCCCCAGGTTGCTCCCCGGTGTCTTGCAGATGTGCCTGGCAAAGGCCCGTGTGGAACTCGGGAGCTGCTCTTGCCAGTCAGTGTTGTCCTGAACCAGAGGGACCGGGGCCCAGCCCGCAGAAGGCGGCTTCAGACATGGCTGCTCTGCCTTCGCTGAAGAAGCGAGTTCAGCTGAATTAGGGTTGCTCCTTGGCTATTTGCAGAGCCCCTTTGATGCTGCTTCACCGGTGCTACGTAGAAGAAATGAGAAGGCGGTTAGGAAAGTGCCTGGAGCTGCGTCCTCCTGTCCAGTGTCGCCAACACTGACTGGGAGCTGTGGGGCAGGGCTCTTCAGCCCAACCTGCAGGTGCCATGGATGGGGCTTGGGTGGTCCTGCATGGAAGCGGGCTGCACCACTGGGCTAAGGCCTCTCCAAACTTGCAGAAGCAAACTTTATTCCTGTGTCCTCAGGAGTGCCCGCCCCATCTCACCTTTTTCAGGTGGTCCCCCTGGTCCTCTGAGGAGACGTTTGGGCCAGAGGGGTTATCACAGATGGCCGGGGGGGGGGGGCAAAAAGAGTGTTCCTATTGGTGGACTAGCTTTAAGTTTAATGGCTTGAGTCTAATGTACATTTTGGGAAGGAACGCTTCAAATGCCCTTTCTGGATGCCTTCCCTGCGAAAGGCCCTCTGCAGAGTTGGGGGTCTGGGCTGACCAAAGTGCGGCGGAGGCACAGAGATTGCGACAACTTTTGGAAATAAAGAATGGGAGATGCGGGATGCCAGTTGTGTTTGCTTCCAGTCTGAACCGAAGTCTGTTCATTTGCAGTTCCACTCCTTGGGAAAATGTTTGTGAAAAGGACTAGAAGCATTCTTGTCACTTTCTCCAGCACAGAGGTTCCTTCCTTGCCCATGTTTGCATTGTTATGCTGTTGATGCACTCCAACAACTCCGTCAAGTGCTTTGAAATTGCGGAAGGGCAGCCTGTCAAGAGCCGTTATAAATGCAGTGGCTGAGTCTTGGAAGGAAGCAACTGAGCAAATGGAAAAAAATGAAAATAGTGGGGAGTGAAACACGGAGAGGCCGTGAGGTGGTGCATGGAGAAGGCTCACACCTTTCTATGCCATTTGCTTTGAATGTTTTGTTAAATCTTCGCCCCAGCATTTTCTGCTTGCATTACCTTTCTGGGGAACGGTCCTTCAGCCAGATGGGTCCCAAAGGCAGGGTTTTCTAATGATAAGTAACAGCATGTTGAACAGTGCTGGAGGCCTTTTTTCCTCTGCAGTATGGGTATCAGTTATATTTTGGGGGTCTTGGGGTGACCTGATGCCCCTCTGAAACAACCTCTGTGTCAGGGGCTGCAAAGATTTGACAGAAAATCCAGTTTAATGTCAAGGGAGATGGGACACTTGCAGCCCATGGCTGGCTTTGGAGGGGATTGGCTGCGTCCGAGTTTGGGGTTTTTAAGTTTGGTGGCTGTGGTGATGTCTTTTTTTTTTAAAATAAGTTTTATTGTTATTTTCTACTATCTAACAAAACTAAGAGAAAGAAACTAAAAAATCCTCAATCATCAAAAAACATCAGACCTACTGGGTCAGCCCCTCAACCTTTTTATGGTCCTCCATAAACACATTTAAATCTATGCATAGTCCTGTTTCTCTAGCCAAGGGTGCGGTGATGTTCTTTGTTTGCCCTGCCGCCCTGTGGGCCAGAGCGCTAACAGAATCGGGCAAGAAAGGGCCATGGCCTTGTGGCCCAGCAGCTGTTTTTCTTGCGGAAGGTCGGGCCATCAATTTTCAGCTTCTCCAAGCAGGGGCACGAGAGATCCTGGTCGAAACCCTGGAGACCCATGCACCACAGGCGCTGAGCCTCTTTCGGCTCATGGACCAAATTGCATTTTGGAGAATGTCTTGCAGGCCCCAGTCTTGGTGAAGCCGCAGGCAGCAGAGCGTGGAGAGGGGCAAATACACAGCTGCATAGCTTCAGGTTTTCCCACCACTAGCTAAGAAGTAGCATTTCAGCTTTTGAAATGTGAAAATGCAACACAACATTCAGGAAACCAGCAAATGATTGCCGGCTGTGGGAAAAGAGGCAGGCTGGGGGAAGGGGGCATGACTGGGCCCACCGGAGGGCTGGGTTCGGCCCCCCGGCCTGAGATGGCCTGAGCAAAGCTCAGGGAACCGAGGTTCCATTTGGATGCCAGGAAGCACTTCCTGACAGTTAGCACTCCGAGAGTGTGGAATGGGCTTCCCTGGGAGGTGGTTGAGGCCCCATCGGTGCGGGTGTCCAAGGATAGGCTGGACGTCAACATGGTGGGCATGTCATGAGCGAGCCGGCTGGAGCCGGGGGTCAGACTAGATGGCCCGGGAGGCCCCTTCTGACTCACTCTGTTTCTATGTTTCTATGATTCTGCACCCCTGTGGTAGAGCCAGTAGCAAGTTTGGCAGACCATGAACTGCTGCAGTTTGGTAGCAGAACCAAAGCAAGCAACTCGGCCTGAGTCCGTTTCCTCCGCAATCCTGTTTGCATTGAAGAACAGCCCATCGCTTACTGGTAGAGCAAAGTGGAGGATGCGAAAGTCCCCGCAGCAGTTCCTGCCTCTCCCGCCTGGAGCCGGGAAGGGCCGCTGCTGAGATGCTATGCTTGGAAGAAGCTGGCTCGGCTGCTCCAGCCACCCTGCATCTTTCCAGCCCAGCTGTGTTTACAAACTGCGGGGTGCACAGGCCCCCTCGAAACTCTGCCCTTGGGCATCTTCAACAACAACCCACGAACAACAGGAAAGAAAATAATACATTTTCTGAAGAAATCACTTGTTTTATTTGGCTTTGATTAAATCGCAATGTATGCACATGAAATGCTTGCCTGTGTATATGAAAATATTCAAGGGAAACAGTTATGCATAAGCATTAAAAAAGCTGACCAAATATCCATCTGGTTATCCATTTGCAAGTGCTGTAGAAGTGCAGGTGGGCATTCTCCTTCTGATGCAGTAATATTGGTCTTTTAGCTGTCAAAAGCTGCCTGCCCTATGCTAGAGTTTTTTGCCCAGGGGTGGGGTGCTCTTCATGAAATCCACATGCCCAGCCTTTACCAGTTTGAGCTACTTAATGGACCCTCACCCTGCCTGTAATTTCCTGGATGCAGTTGGTCCAGGACCCCGCTGGGAGGTCGCTGTTACCTTGTAATCTATGCACTGAACAATGGTGGATTTGGATGGGCAACCGAAGCAGTCAAGCCATGCAGAGCCCGAGCACAGCCAGAGACGTGGTGGAGAGTGGCAGGTGGGCTGGGGAGGGGGCAAGGATGCTGCCCCCCTTCTGGCCTTCTAAACAGTGGCTAGGGAGGCCGTCACGAAAGCGTGGGGGGCAGCTGGGCACACCCCCATTATTCAGCTGGCGTGGCTGCTGAATGTCCAGCAGCTCTCACTACTTTAGAGAGGGAACAGCTGTTCCAATGCAGCTCCTTCTTGTAGTCACTTGAGCAGCCCGGATGGTGAGGACCAGCGTGCCCCTTCTCTGCACGGAAGATGTGATGTGAGAATGCGGGAGAGCGGCCCTGGGACCGGGTCTGGGTGGGGCAGGGAACTGCCAGCCACATCTCTGCAAGGGCCCAACAGTTTAGTCTGACCTGCTACAGCCTTGACCTGGTGGGGCACCTACCATAGAATCATAGAGTAGTAGAGTTGGAGGGGGCCAAGGCGGCCATCAGGCCCACCCCCCTGCTGTTGCAGGACCCCAAGTCACACCATCCCACTCAGGTGGCTGCCCAGGTTCTTTTGAACATCTCTCATGTGGGAGCGCCCCCCACCTCTCCGGGCAACTCGTTCCACTCTGGTACTGCTCTGACCGCAAGGAAGCTTTCCCTGATGTCTAGTATGGCCCTGGGTTGCCACAACTTGACCTGATTGTTCCGTGTCCTGCACTCTGGCATCAGCGAGAAGAGATCCTGACCTTCCTCTTGGGCGAGTCCTTGCATATCCTAGTATGTCTCTAAATCCCTCAGCACAGAGAGCAGTCTTAACCCAGCACCAAAAGGATGATACCGTGGATGCCAGGTGAGCCTTGGTGGGGAGGTCATTCCAGAGTTGGGGAGCCACCCTGGAGGAGGCCCTGCCCCTTATTGCCGCCCTCCGAGCCTCTCTGGAAGGTAGCAGTTGGAGGAAGGCCCCGACTAGGGTAGATTGCAGCAGGGAGAGGCACTTGATCAAGTATTGTGGTCTCCAGCCAGATGCTGGATGATGGTCTTGTTAATTGTGGCACCGTGGCTCTCTGCTGGTGCTTTGCCCCCCTGCCCCCAACCAGCTGGCCTGCTTTCTGCCTATGCACAGGAACCCTGAGACTGGTTGTCATC